TTTTTGAGGTATTAAGGTTTGAACTTTTGGGCAAACTCCTCCAGCGCTGCCAGAAGCTTCTCCTCCTCTTGCGGTGTTGACCGGGAGGCGGCGAGGGGCAAGTGTGTCGCCACTCCTTTACGATCTGAAAGACATTTTATGCGAATACATGAGACATAACGCAAAACTGTGTGACATTTAAGTGATCGATTATAAAAACGAGTTTTGCAGCATCACAAAAACATGAACATCTTTGATCAATACTATTAAGCTACAATTACGCTCATGAATCACTTTATTGAAGATTAAACTTTTGCAACAAACTAAATAACCTGTGATTAAAAATGTCATTTATGACTGTAAAAATGACAGAGTTGATTTCACTTGGTTTTTCTGCATGTTACAATCTCGGCAACAGACAGTCTCTACCAGCCGATAGAGCGCAGACAGTTTTACTGCCTGCAGTAACGTCCGCTATCGTGGAGGAGCTAGAGAGGAAACAACTGAATTTCAATGCTGGAGCTTTTTCCAGCAATCATCTTCATCATCACGGGAAACGTGAGGTGTTTGGACAACAGTATGGATGAGTCTGGTGAGCTGTAAGGCGCCAGTCTCGTTACAGCGAGATTATGACAGACTCATAATTCCCAGACTTTTTTGGGTGGACAGGGACCCAAAAAAGTCCATTAGTCTGAGTGGTTTTTTTTTTTAAACTTTCTTTTTATTGTTTTTCTTTAAACACTATACAACAAAACAACAACAACAAAAAGATAAATACAACAAGTAGGATAACAAAAAACAAACAAACAAACAAACAAACAAACAAAAACATGTTGGATCTCTTTGTTTCAACAGTTTGATCATTTCTCATTATCAATGTGTTGGTCTTTATCCTGTTGGGTTTATGTACTCAGTCCATTTCTCCCACTTTTTATGGTGTTGATCTTCCTGAGTCCTTATTCTGTAGGTCAGTTGTTCCATGGTTTGTATTTCATCTATTTTTGATCCATTCGTCCTGTGATGGTGGGTCTATCTTGTTCCATTTTCTTGTAATTGCCTTTTTACAGGCAGCAAGCATAATTTTCATTATGTATCTATCTTCTTTCATCACATTTCCCGTAATGACAAGTATAATAATGTACAAGTCTTAGATACAGCATAACCCAGAATTTTACCTATAACTAAATGAATATCTTCCCCAAATTTTGTAATCTTGGGACAGAACCAGAACACGTGGGAATGATTCACATTTACCTCTCCACAGCTCCTCCAACACGGTTGTGGTAATGAGGTATGTTTGTTCTTAATTTTGGGTGTTATAAAAAAATCGAATTACATTTTTCCAGCAGTGCAGTCTCCAGGCACGTGATGATGTTGTTGACTGCTGTATTTTCCAGGTTTGTGACCATTCCTCATCAGATATGTTCACTCCCAACTCTCTCTGCCACTTCAGTTTTACATATTTTGTTGTACACCCTCTTGCCTCCATTATATGCTCGTAAATTGTAGAGATTACTCTATTTTTTTTTGCTTTGTAAACTTAAGTTATGGTTTTAATTATCGAATTTTTATACAGATCTACACTATGTTTTACTTCTTTATTTAAAAAGTCCCTAATCTGTAAATATCTGTAGCGATCTTGATTACTTAGGTCATATTTTTGTTTAATCTCCTGGAAACTCATAAAATTCCCATCTTTAATTAGTGTACACATCGCTGTTAATCCAGTAGGAATCCACTGTTTAAATCTTTGGTCCATAGAACCGGGTGTAAAACCCTCATCATAGGCTATCCATCGAATTTAATCTGAGTGTTAAGAAGAAATATGGAGGGATTTCCCTATATGTGATTGAAAGCGTAGTTTAATTCTAGACATGTTACTACGAAACAACGTTTCTGTAGCCTCAATATTCAAGTCCCAGCTGTGGGAACAGTCAATGCTGCTGCTGGTTGAATCCAGTTGAAACTGACACAGATGTCATTCAAATGAAGCATTAGCAAAGTATTAGCAAGTGCTTAATACATAATTTATATCTTTTGCTACCCTTCAAGTTCCTTAGTTTCTCTCTGTGATTACAGAGAAAACCATGTTAGATATTTGCAAGTTTTTTTCTGACCTTGAAAGAAGAGCCCGCTCGGTTGCTTGGCAGCTGCTGCGGATACGGCGAGCCACACCACGGTGTCAGCTCCCATGGCCTCCGTCCTCAGCTTGGACTTCATCCTAGCGTGGAATGAAGGCATGGAGGTCTGGACCGCTACAGAGAGACAATTCAAAACTTGAGTCGCAGAGACAACATTCTCTTGTTAAAGGTTGTTCTGTTATCACTAAAAGTTGTAAAATGTTGTATCACTAAAATATCATTCTCAGTCAGTTGTTATTTATTATGTGTTTACAGCGCCCTCTGTGGTTGCTCCAAGTAATGCGCTTTAGAAACGGCTTTATTTTGAAACAACTTTATTGAACAGGAAGTCGGCGCAAGAAAGGCAAAAAGAAGGGAAACATATCGGCACACAGTTTATGGTGTCCTGTTGGAAAAAATACTGTTCTCATCTTCGGTTTATGGTTGTATCGCCGGTATGTACTTAAAGTATAAATTGCAAATTTCTTTTTTTTTTTACAATATGTTGCCCGCTAATGCAGTATTTGGCTGTAAAGCTAGTCCTTTTGTTAAGCTAGCTACCCGCGATTTTGGAGGTCGTCTGGGATAGCATCAGTAGTAGTTTAAAAAGTTTACATAATTAGACATATGCTATGTAGTGGCATTGTGGTATATAAATGTATATTATGCTGCACATATGTATGTTTTTAGTTTTACCCTTTTGAATGTCAGTAAACCTGTTGACAGCGCTCATCGGTCTTCAGAGTGGTGATATAAGAAAGGTGTTAACGCCCCTGCATCAGACATGCACCCATAACGGCACAAAGGTTGTGTTATTCCATGAAAAACCTTTGTCTTCCAGTTAAATTCTTAAGTTTTAAAGTATCTTTCTTTTCTTTACCTGGTGTGTCTGCCCAGCCAGGATGCATGCTGGAGAAGTGGATCTCTTTGTGCTGAGCAGCCCATCTTTCTGTCAGGATCACCTGCTGCCTCTGCCAGACAAAGAAAAAAAAAATGCATATCAATATAAATACCACAACAATTCCTCTGTAGACCGCTACGTCTTTCAGTCACTCTACTTTATTCTGAGCATAGGCCATGGTCCCGTCAAATGTCCCCTTCTCAAATTGGAGGTCGTCCACGTCCAATTTCTGTGTGAGCATGCCACCTGAAGACACAGTAATCTGGAGTGGAAACAGAAGAAATCGTTCATTTTCAGTCATGCAATTGTACATCCTGGTTATTTTTTTGTGCTGTTGTAATTCAACCCACCACTCTGGGGTCTTCGACCTTCTTCAGTGCAGGTATCAGTGCAGTGGTGAGGATGTATGTACCTGAAAAACAAAGTTACGCACAAAAGAGTTTTTATTTATAGCCAATATTAGTCTTACACATACTTTTTTTGTTGCAAATTTGCAGAAACGACATTAAATAACAACATAATTTGCCAAATAAGGCCAAAACCAGTGATCGTTACAGTCACCTCCCCTAAATTTAAATACAAAATGCTTATTTTAATGTTAATATCTTACATTTTGCCTGTTTTGGAAGTTTTTTTAAGACCATCTTAATTACAGTCAGTCCTGAGAATTCATTTTTGCAGGAAAGAAAATGTTGAAAACTATAATTTTACACAAAGTTACGATTTAAAAACTCCGGCTTCCTTTTTGTTGTTAAAACATCCATCAGAAATATGTGTTCTCGTCTTACCCAACGTATTTGTGGCAAAGTTCTTCTCCAAACCCTCCTCAGTTAGTTCTCTCTGGTTGACCATACAGCCCGCATTGTTGATCTGAGAACCACCATAAACAGATTGAGATTAACGTTAACGTTAAAATATGTTTACTGCAGAGGAGCCACAACATATCTGCAATTACCCACCAACACATGCAGTGTGTTGTTCTGCGAGAAGCTCTGCGCAAACTCCCACACTTGCCTGGCGCTCGACATGTCAACAATGTGGACGTGAACATTCTGGGAACAGACAGGAAAATTAAAGGTGTGGGTTAGTTTTAAGTTTAATCTAATTGGGTGGAAAAGCAGGTATGAATATTCTCATCTATTTTGTTTTTGTTTGATTGCTTTATTTTCATTCACGTTTCTTGACGGAACATTTTAAAAATCTGATGGAAAAAAACAAGCATGTGAGCATATTTTTATTAAAGAAAAAGCTTCACTTTATTTCAGGGACCTCAATTTGCACAAGGTGAAAGCGACTACAAGAGAATTCCTGTATAAAAAAGAAATAACTCAGACAGATGAACAGTTAAAATCTCACCTCATTTTTACTGCTTTCAACAATTTCACCTTTGGCTGCTTCTGCTCGCCCCTTGTTTCGACACACCATGTGAACCGTTCCCCCTACAGACACAAACGAAAACATGATCAACAATTGACACACACAAATACCAGCAGGAAGCAGGAAAACTGCCTTCTGTCAGCTGCGAGACTCTCACCTCTCTTAGCGATTTCCTGCGCTGCAGCTTTCCCTATCCCGCTGTTGGCACCTGTCACCATGAAGGACCTTCCATTCAGGTTTACATCCAGGTCAGCTGGAACAAAATGCTTTGCTGCTGCTTCATAGCCACTCCTGGTATGAGCAAAGAGGAATCCAGTGAGCACATTACACTGTCACCCATATTTCTACATGCACTGATGTAACAGTGTCATCACTATTGGGTGTGGTTACTAGGATACAATAAGCATACCATAAGCAAATCACAAAATATAACGGACTAATAATTTGGGTAATTTATCAATTTATCAAGTAAAACAGTTTTCCTCCATATAACACTCTCCTGCTTGTCTTTATCCACTGTGTTAATTTGGTAAACATATGTAAGAAGCACTTTCACTGTTTCAAACATCTTTTAAAGAGGTTGTAGTCTTGATTATACGGTAAGCTTGCAGCATTGTGTAATCGTTTACCTGTAGCATGCTGTCGGACACAAACGCGCAGTAGCCGAGTGCTATCACTAACAAAGCAAACATGTGGTTAAACTTTGGGCGGCGTGTCGGAAGGTTATGTAGCCTATATGTACCGCAAACAATTAAGACTACAAGTCATTTGACTACATAATAGAGTGCTATTAGAAAAGGAAACTGTCCACTTACTTTGTATACTCCTGGAGTCCTTTGACGAGCCACACAGTATTCCTGTAAAAGGACATTTTAATACGCGCAGCTTCTCTACACAATTGGCTCTTTAGTCGCCCTAACAGTGGACACAGTCCAGTATTTGCGTTTCATAAGGATGACTGCAGCTTGTTATGTAGTAAGCAAAGGTCTGTAGCGAGAGATGGGCGGAGAATCACGTGTATAAGCACCGGAAGTATATTTCATAACGTATGTATACTGCCCCTGGCGGGAATGTTCGCTTACTGCTGTTTCGTAAACAGCTGCGAAACAAACCATCCTTTAATTTAAACAAACTAATTTAAGCTCAGTTTGAACTGATGCTAAAGAACCTAAAGGAGAAATGGCTGTTCAATGCATCTCTGGCGGGCGCAATCGTGACACAGTGAGTTGTAATTATATGAGTGTTTGTTTCGGCTCGTTTGACAGAGTTGTCAGGATGGCCGAGTGGTCTAAGGCGCCAGACTCAAGGTTAAACCTTCCTGTGAAACGGGACTTCTGGTCTCCGACTGGAGGCGTGGGTTCGAATCCCACTTCTGACAATACTTTTTTCTTTCTTACTGTGGGCTATGCTGCTTTCTTTCGTCGTTCTTCGCCTACTACGTTTACATAACATGTTACCTTACAGGACACATTATCGTCCCTTCTCCGCAAATGAAAAAACACGACAGACTACTATGCATTTTTAATACTACTAATAAACCGTGTTTACGTTTAAAAATAAAATACGGAAATAGAATCGTAGTTTATAATCCGCACATTTCTCCTTCAGGGTAATTTATTCATAATCACATGTCAGTTTAACTACATGTAAAGTGCTACCAGAGACCATAAATAAATAAATAAATAAATAAAAAGTCGAGTCTGTGCTTCAAAAACTGTTATGTATTTTACTTACTTAGATCTCCGTCTCGGTCTTGAACTGATAATTTATAATATACGCTTAAAAACTTGAGTTTACCGTCTTCTGGTCTCATATATCCAGGAGTACATATTACCAGTTCATTTAATCATTGCTAACCTATGTAAGGCTGGCTTTTCAAAGGTCAGCAAACCTTCCTGTATAACTTCTTGGTAGGATTAATATTATAAAAATGAATATTCTACCCATATTAATTTCTTCAAATTTCTTTTTCAGTGTATCCCACTGTTTTTTCCCACTGATTTCATCATTTATATGGGCAAACAAGACCCCCAGGATTAGTATGACCTCACTACAACAGGTGGTGGTCTAGCTCTACCCAACTTGATGTTTTATTATTGGGCAGCCAACATTCAAAAGCATTTGAATGTACTTATTCGCTGAATGATCCTCAGGCTACTTGTTGTTGCCTCGATGCTCAATCATGTCTCTCTACCTCACTTTCAGCACTATTATTTTCATCCCTTCCTGTTTCCCTGTTACAGTTTACAGATAACAATGTTGTAATTGCATCTCTAAAAATATGGTAACAATTCTGACGTCTCTTCACTTCAGTTCAGTCTCTGCCTCTGCTCTGGCCCCAATCTGTAACAACCACCTCTTCCCCCCATCCATGGTGGACTCCTCCTTCTGTATATGGGCAAGAAAGGGTATTAAAGTTTCTCAGCTTTAGTGCCCTGAATTCTTTGTACGATTTGCCCTGCTATCGTTTGTTGCGCTATTTCCAAATAAGACACTGTGCATCTTCTATCTTCTGGAGTTTCCGAGTCAGCCCCCCAATCATTGGTGGGAAGACTTATTTGAGCTGAGGCCTCACAGGAAGGCTCTTATATCACAAATATATACTTTAATTACAGCATTGGGTAATTACTCAACCAAAAAAATTGTTTCCACCTGGGAGCAGGAACTTCTTAGGTCTGGCGAAGATTACTGGGACAAAGTAATTAACAGAATTCATACCTCATTTTCATGTGCACATTCAGTTTAAGACAGTATACAGATTACACATCTAAAATATACGCCGGCATTCCTGACCTGTGCAACAGATGCAAAACCTCCTACCTGTTAATTAACTCATATGTTTGTTTGTTTTTTTACCTGCCCAACACTTCAGTTATATTGAACCTTTTATTTTGAAGTGCTCTCTCATGTTTTGAGTGTTACACAATCCTTGTCCACTTGTTGCCTTTTTTGTGTTTCTGAAGATTCCACCCTAAACCTTAGCGTAAGCAGCTGGACGTTATAGCTTTCACTTCAATGCTGGTACAACAAAGAATTTTGCGGTCTTGAAAAACTTCTCACCCTGAAAGATTTTATGTTCTTTTTAAAAATGGAGAAAATAAAATTCAGACTCAGAGGAAATGCTAATAGGTTTTCACAGCTGTGGCAGCAATTTATTAATATTAATTTGAGTACCTTGGTTTTTTGTTGTTGTTGTTGTTTTTTTAATTTAGGGGCGGTCTCTCTCTCTGTGTTTTATTTATTTATTTATTTATTTCTGTTATTGGATTGGACCTCGGGATGGTATTAGTTATATGCTGTTCAGTAGTTCTCAAAAATCATTCAAATTGTAATGGCCTGAACTGTATGTCTTTGTATCATTGGTACTTGTTTTATTAGGCCTGATATATCAAACTACATGTAAAAATTCTATAAATAAATAGGAAGCCCCCACCCCCCACCCAAAAAAAATCAATATATTGATTTTTCACGGGTCACTTGTTAATTCTTAGAACCCGTTTTATACGAAATTTTTCTCGTTCAAATCTTTATTCGTCAATCGAGATTTTCTTTATTTTTTTCTACTATTTATTTAATGATGAATAAATGAATTTCCTTCTTTCAGACTTCTTGCCAAATGTTTTGTCAAAGTCGTCTACAATGGTGTAGCAGCAGCTCCCCCTGGTGTACAAAAGGAAGTGCTCTCGTGATATCCTGTGACAGAAAAAAAGGATAAAAACGAACATTGTCAAGTACTGTTATTGCTGTGAAAGCTTTGTTGTAACGAAGCAACAGCGCCCCCTGGTGTATAAATGAAAAAAAGCTTACAGCACCTGGTATTCCCAGGCGGTCTCCCATCCAAGTACTGACCAGGCCCGACCCTGCTTAGCTTCCGAGATCAGACGAGATCGGGCGTGTGCAGGGTGGTATGGCCGTAAGCGACTATCATAGTAACAGGAAACATATTTATATGTAACAACAAAGGCTGGACGCTAAAACAAATGTAATGCAACGTGTTCAGGGTGGTATGGTCGTAAGCGAGTGTGGCGCTAACATGAAGCATATTTATAGCTATTTAGTCCAATTCTCAACACAGGTCGGCTAGTTGAGTATTGTTTTTTCTCTTCCTGGCGGTGCCTTTATGTTTTTCTTATTAACGGAAAGACGAAATAAAAACAGAAAATAAAAGTGAGCCGTAACCCAAACAAACTTAAGGTTTTTAATGAAATCTACGCTAAACTCTTTATAAAAAAATGCCGCTTGTCTTTTCAAAGTGATACAAAGTCTCAGCTGCAAACTTTGGTTAGCAGCAGTGAAACAGCTTTCTGACGACCGGGGATCGCAGTTGTCAGGATGGCCGAGCGGTCTAAGGCGCCAGACTCAAGGTGACAAACCTTCCTCAACACGGGACTTCTGGTCTCCAAATGGAGGCGTGGGTTCGAATCCCACTTCTGACAATACTTTTTTTTGTTCGTTTTAAAAATTATTAATAAAAACTATTATTCAGTTTAGCTTTAGTTAAGTACCTTAATAACGACCACTTTACAAATCCTGCTTTGTATACGAATCAAAACCTTTTTAAAGCTGAAAAATAGGATAGGACAAATAGGATAGGATAGGACAAGAAATGTGTAAATGTGACATGAAAAATTCTTTCAACAAGGACTTCCTCAAATAGGCACACATTAAAATTTCTACAATTCAGTGCTCTTGTAGCGGAAATACTGATTATTTTACTTATCTGTCTCCTCCCATCTCCACACCACTTTACCCTCACCTCACTTCTCATTCCTTAGGCCTGCCCCCTCAATAAAACCATCTTCCCACTCTTCTAATCACTCTTTTTTCACCTCCACATTGCTGATAGTTGAGTTTTTTTATCCACTCCTCTGTCATCATCTACGACAGGAGTGGGGAACTCCAGGCCTCAAGGGCCGGTGTCCTGCAGGTTTTAGATCTCACCCTGGGCCAACACACCTGAGTCAAATGATTAGTTCATCACCAGGCCTCTGGAGAACTTCAAGACATGCCGAGGAGGCTTTTTTTTAGCCATTTAAATCATCCGTGTTGGATCAAGGACACATCTAAAACCTGCAGGACAGTGGCCCTTGATGTAATTTGTAATTTGATTGCTGTATATTTTCAGCAATGATACCAGATCATTACTTCTGAACATGATAACTTACACTGAGGCAGGTTCTAGCTATGTGCAGCCCAACACGTCCACCCAAAAAAGAAAAACTCTCCCACCTCTCATGATCTTAATGTGATCAGAGGTACAATGAAATGTTGAACTTAGTGCAAGTAAAACCCACACAAACAGCCATTTTGGATAAATATATACAATTTTACCTCTCAGTCTTTTCCCCC